GGACAGTTGAAGAAATATTTTCCAAACACAAAGAGAAACACATAATATTCCTTTTTAATAAAAGACAGAGTTTTACACAATGATCTCAAAAAATTTTATAATTTTCCCCTAAACAAGATTCCCTTCTAAAAATTGTTAATGTAAGGTGCTTTGACAAAGTAATATCTTGACTTATATATGTACTAGTTGAAAAACTATGATAGGGCATAGAGAAGGAACAGTGCCAAAGTTTTATTGACATTAAAACCAGCCGTGAAGGAAGCCCTCACTTCATTTTTAGCTTATTTGAGGCAGAGTTCTTGTTTTCTAATCAATAGATATTTGCTAAGTTCCTATTAGGAAAAAGTCGTTCTGATGCTTTAAATTGGACAGGATGCTAACAATTATAAGACATATTTTCCACCTTCAAAGAGCTTATACTTTCTTTGGAGAGACAAGATATAGGTTAGGTAAATTATAAACCAGAAATGAAATGCAAGATTTAAGTCCTATGTAATTAATACAAAATTCAGCATTCTATATTCAGGATTTATTTTTTCATAAAGCCAGTAACACCTCTTTTTGTCTCCTTGCATTTAGTCATAAAATGGAGGCACTAATTTTCATTTTAGACTTTTGGGAGAGTAACAATTAAATTATATACAAAATGCTTACGACTGACTTCTAAAGTTTGAGCTAGTGAGTTGGTTAACTCATCTGCTTTTCAAACTTGGAATTTTCGTTGTTGTTTTAGGTGTGGGAATGACGAACACATAGATGTAAAATCAAGAACAATTTTTTACATAGTTGTTTTAATAACTCTCATTATGTTATTTTACCATTATTATGTAATTATAATAGAGAGAAATCAGATACCACTTATGATTTTGTGGTTTCCAGGTACAACCCAAGGAAGTTAGGTTCAGGAGTTGTGAATAAGAAACAAAAATCAAAGGGGAGCTATAGACCGTGAGGGTTCCTGGTCAGGAAAATGATATCATTGTAATCCCGAAAGTTAACAAGTAGAACAAGATTGTCAAGATTCTTGGCAACAAATAGATTTTGTGACCCTAAGAGAGAATGAGAAAGAGATTGCGATATGTCAGCAGGATACAAGGGACCTCACGGGAAAATCAGCACTGACGTCATAGGAGGCATCTGCTGGGCCTGCTCGTTCCACTGCACACCATTTTGTGCACCTGTCATGGGTAATAATAATGAAAATGAACTCATTTAGGAAATGACTCTCTATCTCTGCATGGACAGATTGCTCAACTTCACCCAAGGAGCAACATTTTAAGTAAGTCACTTAAAATGACAACATGCTAGACCTGAGAATGTCTTATCTACCAAACAAGCTTGCCTTTGAATAAAACCAAAATATTTTCTAAACCAAGAATTGATGTAGCTAGCTCATTTTTAGAGTATACATTGCTATATCTTTTTTCCTTTTTTTTTTTTTTAAGAAAGTCAGGACCTTTAAAAGCGACAGGTTGGCAGAGCTTTGGATTTGCCCTCTTCCCCACCTTGTCAATTCCTAGGAAATATGGAAGATTTTTTATGTAGTAACACCAATATCTATTCATTTCACCTTATGTCAAATGTATTCGCAACTCTGCAGTACAAAATAGCATATAAATTACAAAGGAAATAGTATGCTTTCTCATTGATATTCTCATCTTCAAATTCTGAGTATCAGCACAAGCTTAAATGTAAAATTTAAAACGAACAGGACTGTAAGATCACCCATCCCAGGCTTCTTATTTTACAGATGAGGAAACAAGTTTGAGAGTGACCTGTCCAAGGTCACAGGCATTAGGAACTGAGCCCTGACCGAGGGCTTTGGATTGCCAGCTTGATATTCTCTCTATGTCACACATCCTCTTGGGCTAAACCATGGAAGAGAAAACTTCCCCAGAATGTCATGCAAAACAGAGCTATTTTCTGTTATTTGTCCTTGGCCACAAATGTATTTGTAATCTATATTAGAGGCATAATCTAGGACGATGCTGCAAAAATGTGAATGTACTCCAGGACTTTAAGCATGGTTCTTCCTGCCGATATACAAGATACACCAACTACTTAGAAGGAAATTCTACATTTAATTATGCAAATGTGCCCTCAGGAGGCCCTATGCCTTGTGGCACTATGGGGCATAATCACAGCTCCTAGACTTGAAAGAGGTCTTCAAAAGCATCTTATCCAAGTTCACATTTTCATATGAGTAAAGTGTGCCTCCGAGATGCTGAATGATTGGCAGAGGTAGAGCTGTGTTGACTCTCCATTCTCTTGTTTAAGTTTTCCCTTGTGAAGAAGGGCCCGCATGTATGAGATAGCTCTTCAAGGTCAAGGCACCTATGGCCATAAAACAAAACAAGTTTTCTACCCACCTGAGAATCAAACCAATTTCTAGTTTTCATAAGAAGTGTCAGACTTTTAGCGAGTCTTGTCACAAGACATACGTACAAGCTGAAAATTAAAGAGATTCAAGAAGGGTTCAAATAATTCTTGAAAATCAGCTTCCTAGTGAATTTAGGAGATGTTAGACATCTTTTGAGATATTGCAACAATATTTTGACAAAATGTGATAATGAAGAGTACAGGCACTAACCCAGACTGTCTGGATTAAAATGCTCACTCTACCACTTTCTAGTGGTGTAAATTTAGCTTCTCAAATTCAAAACAAGGATAAAGCAACTCCCAATCTTGTGGAGTGGTTGTGAAGATTAGATGAAATAATACACACAAAGTGCCTAGTGCCATGCCTGGCACATAAACATTCAATAAATGTTCATTATTGCTATTAATGATGCCTTGGAATGTAATGAAGCACTTTTCCAAGATGTCTGCTGGAAAAATAGTGTGATTTGGTAGCAAGGATGTATTTTAGTTTCTGAAGTTTTCAAGTTGTGCCTCCGCTTCTTGCTAGCTATATGTTAGGCAAGTCATTCACTTCCCTTGGAGTTTATCCCTCTGCTAAAGATGTTGGTAATATTGCTTTTCCCGTTAACTCATGTGGGTAGTTGTGAAAATCAAGGGAATTGAATCAAGTGAATATGAATATACTTTCTGAAGAGTAAAGCTATTGACAAATGGCCACTATTATTTTTATTCTTTTCTGCTGTCTCTGTGTTAAGAGGTACAAAATGACTGGACAAAAGTTCTAACTCAGTGAGAGAATTTAAGGATCCTACACATCCCAAATCTCCTGGTAGACTCGCAACAGCCGGAAGCAGAGGGTTATTCAGTTAGCAACAATATTGAATGCTCACTCTCTATGGGACACTCTGGACAAAAGAAATCACAAATAAATTCTAAGGTCTTTGTCACTAACACAAAAGCTTATTTAAAGGTAGTATTTGAGAATGTTCCATGATAAAGGACCCCCGCTCTGACTGTAATTTCCAAGTATTGTGCTATGGGACATTAGTTTCCAAGATGGCTGCCGTCACTAGCTTCTCTCCCTGTGTATGCTTTCTGCTTTACACAGCAGGAGATGGAGTCCAATTGCCATCCTCTTGAATGTGAGCTGGCCTCAGTGACTTTCTGGATCAACAGAATGTGGCAGAAGTGACTGGGACTTCTGAAGCTCACTCATGAGAAGGCTTTCAGCTTCTGCTTGGACTTCTTTGAACACTCACTCTTGGGGTCATTGCCTCTCAGAACCCATATGCAGAGGCCACCTGTAGTAGCTGTAGATGACAGCTCTAGCTGAGCTCCAACCCAATAACCAGCAGCAGCTACCAGGCACGTGAGTGAGCATCTTGGATCTCCAGCTCAGCCCAGCCTTCAGATGACTCTGGTCCCAGCTTCTGTCTGACTGCAGCTGCATGGGGTATTCCAAGTAAGAGCTGCCCTATTTGAGGCCAGAGAACATGCTGAAGCTGGGAGATGATAATAGATTATTACTTTAAGACACTTTTAAGGTAGTTTCTTTTGCAGCAATGGATATCTGAAACACACTATTTTCTTCAGAGATAATTTGCAAATTGTGAAAATAGGCGGGAAGTGGTTAATAAAAATATTTTTGTGCACATTTCAAATGTGATTTACCTGGTAGCTAAAAAAGCATTTGGAACAGGAAAATGTTTCACTCTTGTTTAAAATAATAATGAAAAAAATTACTATCATATGTTGAGAACCTATTGTATTTTTGACCATCACTCACTGAGTACTTTATAGGCTTATCTCAGAGCTGGGGTTTAAAACCAGATTTGTTTTAAAATCCCATTTCTTCTCACATACCACCCAGCATATTATAAATGTTATTCCCTCAGACCGAAAGTCATCAGTCGTAAGGAATTTTACACTTTGCAGGTAGAAAGTTATAAACCCAATAAGAAAGCAGTGTGGTGTATCCTGGATTTTTTGGGAGTTGGCACAGAACCTGGCACAAATTAGGTGCTTAATAAATGGCTTTTAACTTAGATATTTATGACCTAACTGGTTTTCTCTAAATGTACCAGTGGCTCTTCACCGCTTTACTGCCAGACATTATCCAACCAGTTTGAGATCTTTTCTTCCTCCTAGCTTGGTCATCAAAATTTAATTATCATATTCACAATTCAAATTCAACTTAAAAGTCAGTAAGATTCCTACTTTCCTGCTTTAAGCATTTTAAAAATTATATAGGCCTGGCAAGAGCCCCAGTTTCTCTCGGGCCTCTCCTGCTGCAGTGCTGCTCCTCGTTCACTCCGCTTTGACCACTGGTCTCCCTGCTGTCCCTCTAAATCATTAGGCTTCTCCTGCCTCAAAGCCTCTGTGCAGGAGGTTCTCTCTGCTCCCTTCAGTCTCTGTTCGAATGAAACATGATAGTGAGGCCTTTCCTGGCCACTGTTATAAAACAGCACAGCTCCCCTCCTTGCTCCACCTCCTAGTACCTAGCCTCTTTACCCTGACTTTCCCCCCCTCATAGTATGTGCCATCATCTGACTAAGTATGTGTTTGCTTTTTAATCCCTTTATTGGAATGTAGGCTTCTTATGGGTAGGGACTTGATTTTGTTCGCTGTTGTCTTTTCAGCACCAAGAACAGTGCCCCCCACAGCAGGAGAGTGGCTATTACTGAGTGAATGGATATCTATGATTCTGTAGCTGAGCTGGAGCACAGAAATGCCAACACCAGTACAGGAAGCGGCCTTTCCATTATGCTTTAGGTAAGTGACATTGGTTTACATTTTGGGCTTCTGCCATAACGAGAGGAAAACCAAAAGCGTTGAGAATTTTCAGTGGCATATTCTGGAAAAAGGTAGTCGACAGGTTGATCTCAGCTGATGTAAAGTGGGGGCAAAGATCTTTGCTGCAGGGTTGGCTAGGAGCTCTGGAGCCCCACATCTCCCTCATGTGGGGGCCGATCCTACGACAGGCACTGGAGCAAGTGAGAGAGGAACCTTTAATCCAGGGACCAGAATAAAGTCAGAGTCAGCTGCAATCAATAAGTTAATACTTTGCATAACGAGGACTAAATTCTACCTATGTTTTTGGGTGGAACGTTGGCTTCATAAACAGTATGTATTTCTTAGAAATATATTTCACAGCCATTTTAATAAAGCACTAATTTTTATAAAAGTGGATCAAATATATGTTTCTTACAAACAACTGTGTTTATGGATCTGCTGATTGCTTGAATCCAACTTCTCCACAGAGGCATCACCGCCCCTTAGAAGAAGGATGCTAAAATGGAAGGGAAAATTCCCCTAGAGCAAAAGCACTCAAGATTTAAAGTTAGAAATCTCCAGTTGTAAGCCATGGCAAACCTCATAAAGCTAAAGGGAAATTAAAGGCCATGTAATAAAACAGGATCTCTGTGTGTGGCACAGTGAGGCACAAACGGAAGCTGCTCGGCCTGCTTTCCCAGAAGCAGCCTGTTTTTTATGCAGCGTGATCATTGTGTGTTGGGAGAAAGTATGCTGTTATAACGTTCAGCACCCCAGGCAGACATGAACCTTGGTACAATGGCAGTAAGAAGATGTGCTGCTCACCTGGATTTTCCAACTCTGGGTGTTATAACCTTGATAATAGTCAAGAGAATTCAGCCTTATGCTGCTCAGGTCTGTGCCTTTCTCTGTCTTGCAGTCAAGTCTCTACTTACTAAGTCTTATTCATTACATCTTAAAAGGCTCAGAGTTCAGTCAAAATACTTATGAAGCAGATTCTAAGGAGATAGTTTTCTCAAATATGCCTTCCAGAATGCTAACTGCTTGCTTTACTCTAGAAGCTTGGTGTAGTGGTGCAGAGCGTGGAACATGTAAAGAGAGAGCTGGATTTATATGCTACTGCCACTTACTAATGTGAGGAGCTGGGGTGAGTTACTTCATCTCTCAGCTCCTCAGTTTTCTGATCTGTAAAATGGGAACATAAATATCTTCCTCAAAATGGTTTTGATTTGGATTAAATGAGATAATGTATGATGGGTGCTTAGTTTAGTGCTTGGCATGTATTAAGCATTTAACATACAGGGGAAAAAAAAAAAGCAGGAGGGGAGATTTCTGGAGTGAATGGTGTCCTTTTGAGCACTTCTCCTGACCTCATTGTAAAAACTTATCTTCTGTCACAAAGTGCCTCTTCCCAGATGACCACTAGCCTCCTCTCTAGCAGCAATGACTTAGGGATTTTACTGTTTCATCACTTCATGGTCAGCGTGCTTCACCTGGACAGGTGGGTGGTCCTGCCATGGCGTCTGCATACGGAGTTTGGTGCTCTGTGTTCTTCCTCCTCTGGCTGTGCCTGCATCCATCCGAAAACTTTGTTTGTAAACTCAGGAGGCCACATCTGACACACAGAGAGCACTGTTTAACATATTAACTTGGCTTTATTGCCTCTAAATTTTTTATTCCATGTGAGTTTAACTGTGGGACTAATTTCGTGCTTTTTGGGCATAAGAATTTACAGTTGCTGCCATTTATCATTCCATCACTTGGCACAGTGCTCAGCACATAGAGATAACCTAATATTATTAAAAATATTTAAATCTATAAGGGGTTAATACAATTTCCCCAAGAAATCAGAGCCAAACCTCAAATGTAATATGGCAAATCCCAGCACCTACCCACCAGAAAGCAGAGGCAAATGTATTTAGAAAATTTGCTTCTGTTTATGACTAATAAGGATTCTAATAAGATATGTGACTGCAGAGATGTGAAGGAAGCACGTGATCATTCAACTCCTGTGAAAACTATATTATGTCATTAGGGGGAAAAAACAAAACTCCCACACAAAGAGTCAACTGGAAGTAAATTGAATATTCTAAATTATTAAAGGGACTTGACTCAGAGAGTTCGATCCTGGCTAAGCTTTCAGAATGTGCAAACAAATGAAACCAGATAAGAAAGTGTAAATGACCTAGTCAATCAAATATCAGATAGCATCACCAAATGAACAGAGCTGGTCATCCCTCAGAGAACTTACCAGAGTGCCAGGGAAAGACTGCTGAAGGTTTTATGCATTCCTAGCACACAGGCACTTACATAGACCCACACTTAACTGGGCTAGTAATTTCACTCTACCCGACGGATAACAAGGAAAATCTAAAAATAAAAAGTCAACTTTTAAAAACTATCCACAATAATTATGAAAAACAAGAGCAAAGCAAGGTTTCGATCAGAATCTTGAGATTTCAGTGTGGGAGAGCCTTATCCTTTGAATCGTAATAGAAAGAGAAATGAAAACTAGGTTATGGAGATACAGAGAATGAACGCTTATGTCAATACAATTGCACTGACCTCTGTTATCTGGTTTTGTAGCAAATGTACTCAGAATGCTGCAACTCAAAAAATTTGTGATAATCAAGAGACTGATTCATTAATTCGCTGTGAACCTCCTGTGTGCCAGGCAATGTAAGAATGGACTAGCAGATCCTGAGATAAATAACAGTCCTTGCTTTAAAGGAGCTTATAGTTTATTTGGGAGGAAAATGTACACAGATAAATTATAATACAATGCTGTAAATGCTACGATATATATAAGGACAAAAATGTGAGGTCCGGCAAGGTTCGTAAGTGCCTTCTGAATTTTAAATAAATATAGAATTATTTTTTCAAAGAGTTTCAGCTCAAATGTTCTTTATTGTTTGAAATATATGATAATTACCCTTTAACCATGTCCTAACCAGGCAAGTAAAAGTTTGCAGTATTTGAATGCAATATTCATCTTCTTGCTCTTCAAGATTCATGCTCTTTAAGATAGAGGAAGAGAGAGAGAGAGAAAGAGAGAGAGACATTGAGAGAGTTCGTCTTCATTTCATTTCAGCATAGTATTGTGCCCAAGAATTGGCTGGTGATAGAATCCTGAGGTGCAAACACGGGAGGTCACGTAGGCTGAGCTCCCATCTGACACAGGAATGTCCTCTTTACCACACTCACATGTGTCTCTCTGTTCCTCCTGAGCAAATCCGGGGGCAAGCAGTCTCTTGTTGTTAGTCAGCTTCTGTAGGAGGAGACATTTTTATACTGAGCGGAGTCTGCTGCCTGGTCACTTTCTTGTTGCTGCTAATTCCGTCCTCATTCCATGCAATGAGAGAAAGCCCAAAATATCATCCATAGGATACCCTTAAAATGTAAGAAGGCCTCTACCCAAGCTTTCTCTTACAGATACAAGACATTCTAGTTTCTGTCGAATATTTGTTTTGGAGCACTGTTTCCAGATTCCTCACTCCAGGTAAATCTTTGAATTGTCTCTGCTCTGTTAATCCCCCGAGGCTTGGCATGTGGTGCTTATTCTGCGGGGAGCATCCTCAGCAGCTTTCTTTGCCTGGTTGGCTTCTCTTCTACACATCCTCTCTCATTGCTTCTTCCCTGCCTCCCGGGTAGGACTAGGTACCCCTTCCCTGCACTTCTTTTCCTCCTTACATAGACCCTTTTAATACTTTGGCTTTAAACTCCAATGTCCAACTTTAACAGTTTAGATTGACCAAATACAAAACTCTTTTTTTCTAAGCTAGTTATGATTAAATAACTTCAAACTAAAGCAGATCACAAGATCCGTTAGATTCCCCAACTAACCCAAGCCTCGCATGTTAACATTAGGGGAAAAGAAAGTGCTTGTCCAACACCCACCCACCGGTGTCAGGGACAGTGCTGAGCTGGCCTAAGATGTAGCCTGGCTAATGTCTCCAGCCTGGCAGTCACGTGGGAAGAAGACCAAGTGCCTAAAGAAAGGATCCATAGCTGAACCTGCCTCTGGTCAATTTTTCAATTTACCTCTCTGTCCACTTGGGTGGAAGGGGAACATAAGCCACGCATGGGACTCTACCCACATTTGAGAGCTCTATTCCTAGAAAACAGAACCCCACAAATGTGATAGAATCTGACCAGCCAGAACAAGAGTTCTCCATCTTGGAGGGCACAATTCCTTTTTTTGAGAGGATAGTGTAGACGATAGCCTGTTTACTTGTCTTCCTCCCTCACAGATCTTGAGTTTCTTGAGGAATTTAAATATTGAGCATTTTGAAGAAAAATACTTTGCATCTTCAAAGAGCTAGTACAGTAGTAGTATTTCACAGGAACTCAGCAGTATTTGCTAAATGAGTTACACCCTTGACATCTTCTAGCCTGCTAGAGTAACTCTTAGCATGTTGTACCTGGAATTAAATAAAACACCTCATGTGTAAAATACCCCACAAAAGGACTCGCCTCACTGTTGCTTCCCGATCTGGTTACTCTGCATCCTTATGAGGGTTTGTTACCTCTGTTTGTGATCAGAAGCTAGTCCAGCACTGACCAGCCTATTTATTTGTTTGTTGTTTTTGGGTGAGGAAGATTGGCCCTGAGCTAACATCTGTACCAATCTTCCTCTATTTTTTGTAGGTGGGTCACTGTCACAGCATGATTTGATGAGTGGTGTAGGTCTGTGCCCAGGATCCAAACCCAGTGTCAGCCTCCCATGCAGGGGAGCCCTTCATGGCCCCTGGAGGCCAGGCTGGGAGCCTTGGGCTTAAGACTCAGCTGTGCTGCTTTCTATCTGTGTGACCCTGAGCTGGTATCCTTCACTAAAATGGGAATGTCCATGCCCGCGTCCAAAGACTGTTATAAGGACAAGAAGAAGCCTCATGCTGAGCCCCTGTGCACGTCAGCAGCAGCATCTCCCAGGAGCATCTGTCCTCCCAGAACTGGTGCCTTGAAGGTGTGAAGCTATTAAAGGCAATAACGATATAACCAAA